TCGATATTTCCTGCCAACGTGGTCGACGGTTTTCCTCTTTCCATTTTCGGATTTTCTGGATAACCGGATCTCTCTCTTGTTCTTCCCTGATCTTGGTAGGCGTCCAGTCGTCGTGGACCACCGTCGTTCTTAGCACTGCTGCTTCCTTGGATTCCGTTTTGTTGCAGTGAGAACACTCTGCTGGGCATGGCCTTCTGGAAAGAGAATCAGCGTTTCGGTGGCTAACTCCGGCCCGGTGCTCAATCTTAAAATCATATTCTTGGAGTCGTTCGATCCACCTGGCTATCTGACCCTCTGGATTCTTAAACTGCATCAACCACTTAAGGGCGGCATGGTCGGTTCGGATTAAAAACTTCCTTCCATAGAGGTATTGATAGAAGTGCTCTACTGATTTCACTACTGCCAAAAGTTCTCTTCTCGTGACGCAATAATTTCGCTCAGGTTTTGAGAGAACTTTACTAAAATATCCAAGGACTCTTTCCTGTCCTCCTTGAATCTGAGACAGCACTCCTCCAATTCCCACATTACTTGCATCTGTATCTAAGATGAACTCTCCATCTGGCAGTGGATACCCTAAAATTGGTGCTGTGATTAAATGCTTTTTTAAGGTCTCAAAGGCATTCTGGCAGTCTACATCCCAGCGGTATTCTCTTGCTTCCTCTGTAAGTCGCGTTAATGGTTTAGCGATATCTGCAAACTTCTTAATAAACTTCCGGTAGTAAGTACATAGTCCCAGAAAACTTCTCACTTGGTGTTTGTTAGTTGGTTTTGGCCATTCCTTAATAGCATCGATTTTTTCCCTTATCCACGGCCACTCCTTCTTTACTGACTATATGACCCAGATAATTGACTTTACCTTGAAATAGCTGGCACTTCTTGGGGTTTAACATCAATTGGGCAGCTTTAAGTCGATTAAAAAACGTTTTCTAAATTCTTCAGATGGTCTTCAAATGTATCCCCCAAGACGATTATGTCGTCTAGATAAACTAGGCATGTTTTCCAAGATAACCCTCTCAACACATTTTCCATAAGCCTCTCAAATGTCGCAGGAGCGTTACAAAGTCCAAATGGCATAACGTTGAATTGCCATAATCCAGATCCTGTGGTGAAGGCTGTCTTTTCTTTATCTACCGGGTCCATTTCTACCTGCCAGTATCCAGACTTCAAGTCCAAAGTAGAAAATAATTTACTTCCAGCCAATGTGTCTAATGTGTCATCGATCCGAGGCAGAGGATAACTATCTTTCTTGGTAACGTTGTTCAGCAAACGGTAATCCACACAGAACCTCGTTGTTCCGTCTTTCTTCTTAACCAGGACCACCGGAGAGACCCATGGGCTCGTAGAAGGTTCTATCACCCCGTCTTTCTTCATTTCCTGAACAATCGTTTCAGCTTCCTCTCTTTTCGCCTGTGGTAATCGTCGAGCTGTTTGACGAATTGGCTTAGCATTACCAGTATCAATTTTATGCTTAACAACGGTAGTTCTTCCCGTCTTTCCTCCTTTCGGTACGAAAATATCACGATACTGCCGAAGAAATTCCCTTAATTTCCTTTTCTCAATCTGATTCAGAGACTGTCCAGCAACCGCAACCATTTGATCAAATTTATCGTTGGAATTATCAGACGTTGTCGTCTGACGGATTATGGATGTGACAGGTACACAAGTTCCTACTTTTGTCTCTTTCTTGATGGTCACTGGGTAGTCATTGACATTAATAAGTCTCACAGGAATTTCTTTAGCCGAAGTCACTAATTCTTTTCCAATTATGATTCCACGGCCAACTTCGTCGTCATGATTCCAAGGCTCCATCCTAACAGGTGTTCCTTCGTCCACAATTCCCTGTAGCCGCGCTACTATTATCGTTTCACTTCTCGCAGGCACGACTGTATCTTCTTTAACGGCTGCTTGCATAGTGTTGTCATCATGTGGATGGAGAAATACCTCCTCGTTACCAACTTTGATTACCTTATTCTTAAAATCCAATTGGAATCCATGCGTATTCATTACGTCCATTCCTAATATAACATCCTCTTCGATGTCAGCAACTATAACAGTATGGACGAACTTTTCTGCTCCAATTCCTAATTGTATCTGGATTTCTCCGTGAATGTTGGCATTTTCACCTGTAGCGGTCCGCAGTCGCAACCTCGTTGGTAACAGTTTCTTACGGCTGTTTATAACTGTCGGGCGAATAATGGTTCTTGTCGCTCCAGTATCCACCAACAACGTATGATTTTTACCATTTATTTCTCCATCCACATAGACACTATCTTCACGACATTTCAAAGAAGCTATTAGTATCAGAGGGTCTTTGGTAAAGTTCTCGGTCGAAGCTGCTCCCTAAGGCCGACGCGTTCTGGTTTTGTCTTCGGTCTTATGGTCTTCGTTTTCTTGTGTGTCATGCTTTTTATCATATTAACGAGCTGGTCAAGTTTATCTTCATCTCCTTCCTCTTTTACAGTCCTAACTTTACTGTACCCGCCAGAGGCCTGCGTGGCTGACTCGTATTCAAGAGCGGCGGATAAGACATCAACCAGCGTCTTGTGACGAGATAATCGTAGTGTTCTTTGCATCTCATGATCACGAAGACCATCAATAAACGTTTGAACGGCCAACTTTTCCATCATGTCTTCGGGAGCTGTTGGATAAGCATATCGCACTAATCTGGCGATATCTACTTCATATTCTTGAAGAGCCTCATCTTTCTTTTGTCTTCGATTTTTGAGCTGCGACTGATATACATGCTCCAAGTGTTCGTGGTCATATCGCATATTTAATCTCTTCTTCAGTTGTTCGAAATCATCCGTCTCCTCTACTGCTATGGTCTGGAGCACATCTAAGGCATCTCCTCGAAGAGCGATAGTCAGGTTTACAGCCTTTTCTTTTTCAGACCATCCATTCGCTCTTGCAGCTGATTCGAACTGTTTCATGTAGTTGTTCCATGATGATTTTCCGTCGAAAGTTGGGACTTTGACATGAACGGAACTTCCACTTCCTTCACATTTCGGCCGTGTTTCCAACTTACATTTCGTCTCCTCTTCTTTTGTCTCTGCTATAATTGAATTGTTTTCTCTCTCTGCTGTCCCTGTTTCCTCCATCTTCCTTTCCATCTCTTTTATCTTCTCTTCTAAGGCCAACATATCGGCAGCAACTTGGTTCTTTAATGAAGACATTTTATCGTCGAGGGCAGACATCTCAGAGGTGACTTTAGAGATGTTAGCAGAAACCTTGCTTTCCAGAGAAGAAATCTCGTTAGAAACTTTGCTTTCTAAAGAAGCGATATCACAGGAAACCTTGGCTACATCACCACAGACTTTGGCTACATCTGAAGAAACTTTCGAAATATCTTCAGAAACCTTGTTCTCTAATTTCGAAATCGACGAGATGACAACAGCAACCTGCTTGTCTTCAAATATATGAGTTTCCGGATCCAAACCTTCTTCTTTTAAAGCGTTCTTTAGTCGTTGGACTAACTCAGCCTTTTTTCCGGTAGAAGCTAATTCTCTGTCTTCAAGATGTCTTCTTAAATCCGTAACTGTGAGCTCATTAATTGTAGCCATATTTCACTTCTTTTTATTTCAAATTCAAATTAGATTTATTTAAAATCCCGCTTTTTTTTATTTGAATATTCCACTTCTGACTCCACTGTTATATTTGTATAATTCTAATTTATTTGTCTTTATTCTAATTTATTGTCTATAATCTAATTTATTAAAACTCACGATAGCTAATTACTAATTTATTAAATAACTTTACAAATGTATTTATTTCACGTTTCGTTACAGTGGAACTTTCGGCAAACTTCCTGAATAGTCTCGTATTTTGGTGAAGGCGCTCGACTCGTTTTTCAACCTCGAGACGTGGATGACTCACTAAAATTAGTGTCTAGAGATTTCTGGTAAACAACTGGTAGCTAAGCTCAGGTATATTTTGACCTACAAATTACGAGAATCAATAAAAAAGAATTAGTCATAAAATATTTACAGTTCTATATGCCATAACATTTAAAATCGTAACAATATTAGGACATTGATAAAGAAACAAATTGTTAATACTGCTTTTTCTTCTTCTTCTTTTTATGTAGACATAACTCTGTCTGTTTTTAATGTTCCTCCTATAAGTTATCGTTCCATATTGTGTTCGTGGTCTTCCTACTGATCGTTTTTCTATTGGGGAACTATCTCTTGCCGTCTTTTCTACTCTATTTGTTATCATTCGGCTTATATGATCGTTTCATTCTACTCCTTTATTTCTTATCTTAACCACTTTGTGATGGTCTTCACCCTGTTTTGTTATATTTTTTTTTGGATAAGTCTAAATAGTTGTTTGAGCAGATCTGGTCCTCCGTACTTACGGAGTTCGTTTGGTATTCTGTCATCTCCTGGTGATTTTCTATTTTTTAATTTCCTTAATGCTTTCTTTACCTCTTCCTCCTCAATATTTATTTCTTCGTTTGTCGTCACCTTTAGTGCTGGCTTTGTTAATAATAGGAATCATTATTAAGTCATATCCAGCTTACAGAACCTGCCTTAGTGATTTAAGGTATAAAATAAGTTTAATGGCATAACAATTGATGTTGCTGTACAGTATTTCCATTATACAAAGTATTATGGTGTAAATGTAGCTGCTACAATAATTACAAAAACAATGTAATTGTCTATACAAGATACTAAAACCCTAGGTATTGTACATAATAATCGTGTAATATAATGTAATTAAACATTTTTAACTTGTAAGATCCCTTAACTAATTCGTTATTATTCTTTCGCTTATTATTCAACTGACTATTCTTTGTTTAGAATGTTTTTATTTGCTCATGGATCCGATTTGTTATTGTTCTTTTGATAATATATTTGAGCATTAATCCTTAGTCTAAGTTTACGTAATATATGGAGTTTTTCCAATCAGTGTAAGGCTGAACATCTGTAGATTTGGTTCTAATATGAACAGATATCTACAACCTAAATTATAAATATTCAGTGAAATCAATAATCTTAAAAATGAATAATTTAAAAAAACAGGATGTGGCTGAAGAAAAGTCCCAAGAAGCTTTGGGTTTGATAAATAAGGATGTAGTTGCTGTTAATATTGGTAAGTATAACTTTAACATTTTCCTCTAAATTCTTACTCTACATTTAACTTTTTTAAGAGTTAGTTTTATTAAATTTACTAATTGATGTGGTAATCCTAGCTCTTTCATTGTTTTGAACATTTCTCTTCTATTAACAGAGTCGTAGGCTGCTTTGTAGTCTATAAATATGTGATGAGTATTAATGACATAGTCCAGTGTTTTTTGGATTTACCACCTCCTAAACCAGCCTGAAAGTCTCTTACTATCCATTTTGCAGATGGTGCCGTATGGTGACAGAGCACTGTCGAAAATATTTTATACGCTGATTTAGAAGCTTAATTCTTTGGTGATTAGAGCATTCAAAAATATCTCCTTTTTTTTAAATGGTGTAAAGTATTCCAAAATTCCAATTATTGGGATTTCTGTGTACATATTTCTTTTATAAATTGCTGAAATGTCATTATGGTATTGTGGTCATCTTCTTTGTATAGTTCAGCTGGGAGATTATGTATTTCGAGTGATTTGTTTCTAGCTATTTTATTAACTGCATCTTTAACTTTAAGAATCGTTTATAATCTGTTCCCCTCACCTCATTTCCAGGTTTTCTTCTTCTTCCTCCATATTCAGTGTGGTTTAAGTATTGCACCCATCTATCCAATACATCGTTTCTTATTATTAATAGGTCGCCATTGTGACTTTGCATTGTCTTGTAGTTGCCTTGAATACTTTTCTGTTGATGTTAACTTTCTTATAGAATGCTCTGAATTCTTTCTCTCTGTTAAGGTTTTCTATATATTTAAGTTCCTACTTTAAGTGGTTGCATTTTTTTCTTTTGTGTATTCTCTTTTCTTCTCTTCTCTTTGGCTGGTAATTGTCTACAGTTGTTCTAGTTCGTCAGGTAAGCATCTCTCTGTAGGCTTCATTTTTTTCTTTTGTTGCATTCTTGCATTTATCGTCAAAGTAATAATTTTGACCGGCACAAATTTCTGTTTCTATTTCATCTTTCGCTGTTGCTTCAATGTCTTCCTTTATTCTGGTCCAGTAAGGGTCTATATCTGTCTGGCCTTCTTCATTTCATCATGATATAACGGGGGTCCTACGGCGATTGCCGCTTCCCGCATTTCAGCCTCCATCTTTTCCTATCTTCCAATCTCCCTCTTCTAAGCCTCTAGATTGCATTGTTTTTGTAATTTCTCTTCTCCAGGAATTTGGTGGTCTTCCTCTTTTCCTTCTTTCTGGTGGAACATACAGTAAGGCTTTCTTTGGCCATCGCTCCTCCTCCATTCTCATCACGTGCCCATACCATTGTAATTGCATTCCTTGTATTCTATCTGAAAGTGTATCTCTAATTCCTGTACGGTTTCGTATTTCCTCATTTCTGATTCTTTCCATTCTCGATACTCGACATGACCTTCTAAGATTATCCATTTCCACAACGTCTACTTTATCTCGTTCATGCTTTGTCATCGTCCAACATTCGGCACCATATGTGGTAATCGGTTCTACAATTACTCTGTATACACGAAGTTTGCTATGCATCTTTATTTTATTAGACCACAGTAATGAATTCAGTATTCGGATGCATTTTTTTCCTTGGGTTATTCAGTTTTGTACAACTATCTTAACTCTGCCATCTGCTGATATGATGTTTCCTAGATATTTATACTGGTTGCAACATTTTATGACTGCGTTTTCAAGCCTTAGATCTGTGGTATTTTTAAATATTCTGTTTTGCTTATGTTTACAGTAAGTCCTTGGCATATTTCTCAAATAATTTTCGATTCATATAATTTATATCTTCCTCATCGGTTGCAACCACCACCTGATCATCTGCAAACAACAATGTACACAGAGTTTCTTGTCATACTTCGATGCCCATAAATCTACATTTATTTCTCCAATTCCTCAATGCTTCTTGGAGGTATATTTTAAAGAGTGTCGGTGACAAACAGCATCCTTGCTTTAGGCCTTTAGTGACTTTAAATTCATTTGAAGTTTTGGTTTCAATTTTTACACAACTAACTGCATTTTCGTACAATTAATATATGGCTCGGATATACGTCGAATCCAATCCGGACCTTTCGAGGACCTCAAACATTTTCTTTAACGGGACACTATCATATGCTTTCTCAAGGTCTATAAATACCAAATGGGTCTCTCTACTTCTTTCGACACGCTTTTCAATTATTTGTCGTAGGATAAATATATTATCAAGGCAGGATCTCCCGGTACGAAAGCCGCTTTGTTCTTCAATATCTTGTATCTGTCTTTCAACCCTCTTCTTTAATATTAAGAATTTCTTTATTATTATATATTCATCTATATAAATATAAAGTGGTCTACTATTAATTCTAAAAGTGCAGTCGGCCCATATATTAATCAGCTCTATGGGAATGTCTCCAGGCCCTGCGGCTTTTCCGTTTTTAACCTCTTTTAAGTTTTCCGTCAATTCAGATAATGTTATTATAGACTTTATGAGAGAAATGTTGTCTTCATTTTTCTCATTTTTCCTAAACTGCTTTAATGTTTTCCAAGCGTGTGCCACTTTTGTGCCTTCTTCATTTACATTTCGATTTCTTTGCCTGTTTGAGATGTTTTTGGAGTATCGTTCTGTATTTATTACATATTTTAGTATTGTTCAATATTTTATCCTGGTTCAAATGATCCATTAAATATGTCCTATGGGCTTGTAGTATAATATATTCCGAAGAGATTCGGATCTATCAATGAAATTATTCATTAAAGTTTTGTTCGAATCTAAAATAAACAAAAGCCAGGTATTTTTTGTCCAATACCTGTACTATTAACTGTTGTTCAAATAATTACTTATGTCTAATAATAAGTCTGCACCAGATAAGTCTTGACAGACTTGAAACTGTTTCGGAATTTTTTATATTCTAAAATGTAACCTACAAAATGACAAGACAAAATCAAACGGAGTACAAACAGATGTGACAAGCAGAGAAAAAGATACTAAAATAAAAGAAAAAACGACATTTGGAAAACCAGCTACAGGAACTAGAAAGGCTCAATTCACAAAGCGAAGCGCGAAAATTTTATAAAAATGTGAACCACAATAGAAAAGAACTTAAACCTAGAATAACTATAATAAAAAGTAAGGAAGCCGAAATGATCAATAAGCCGGATCAAATAGTGGAGAGATGGGCGGAGAATTTTGCTTAAAAATTAAATATAGGCAACCAAGAAGTGACTGACATAAATGACCACAGTGGAGACGTAAACGATAGGAGGGAGAAAAATAATATACCAACAGAAGAAGAAGTTGCCAAGGCAATAAAAAGGTTAAAAAACAACAAATCCCCTGGAAAAGATAGCATACCCCCCTGAGCTGTTCAAGTATGGAGCAAACGTCCTAAAAAAATACATAATAAAACTTGTTGCATCCATTTGGAGAGAAGAAAAACTCCCAGACAGTTGGAATGTAGGTAGTATAATACCTATTCACAAGAATGGGGATCCACTAATATGTGACAACTATCGAGGCATTACCTTCCTAAATACGGGTTACAAAGTACTGGCTTATATACTTTATGATCGTTTACTAGTATATAGTGAAGAAAAAATAGGCAAATATCAATGTGGACTCCGAAAAGAAAGGTCAACAATTGATCTGATTTTCCTTCTTAGACAAAACTTAGAAAAGACATATAAAAATGGAATTGATCTCTATCAAATCTTCATAGATTTTAAAAGTGCTTATGACATTGTAGACAGAAGCGCACTTTATAATACCATGGCAGAACTAGATATTCCGTCCCATCTAATAACATTGGTAAAGGCAACTCTTTCGAAAGTTGAGTGCAAAGTCAAGGTACAAAACAGACTATCAAGGTCTTTTCAAACACATACTGGATTACGCCAGGGAGAGAGTCTATCGTGCCTATTGTTTAACATCACGCTAGAAAGAGCCATAGATAAATCGGGCATAACAACCAGAGGTACGATCATCAATAGAAGTGTACAAATATTGGCTACGTAGATGACATTGACATAGTAACACGGACAAAACGAGACCTGATACAGGCTTTTGAAACATTGGAGAAAGCTGCGAAGGGAATGGAACTGCAGGTTAACGTATCCAAAACAAAATACATGAAGGTCACGAATAGCACACAAATAGCTGCACCACAAGATCTGGTGACAGAAGCACACACATTCGTAGAGGTCTCTGAGTTTATATATCTAGGAACACAACTAAATAACAGCAACTTAGTAAGTATAAGCGAAACTAAGAGAAGAATATACCTGGCAAACAAAGCTTATTTTGGACTAAAGCAGTTCTTAACATCACACATAATTAGCAGAAAAACCAAGATACTAATATATGAAAGTCTTATTAAACCTGTCCTCACATACGCGTCAGAGACATGGACTATGACAAAAAGCGACGAAGAACTGTTAGGCCACTTTGAAAGACGAATACTTAGACACATATATGGACGAGTACAAGAAAGCGGTATATGGCGCAGGCGCTACAATTTTGAGTTGTATCAATGTTATAAAAAATGCAACATCGTCACAAAAACAACAAAGACAAATTCTATCAAGAGCCAGTAGGAACCAGGAAGAGAGGCACGCCAAGATCTAGATTCAAAGCTCAAGTTGAAGATAGCCAATGCGAAAGATAGGGGGGAATGGAGACTAATTCTTGAACAGGCCAAAACCCAACCAGTGTTGTAGAGCCAAAGATGATGATGATGAAAATGTAACCTATTTGATTCCTTCTGATTCTCTTGGGTCCATCTTAAGAGGATTTTTACGTATACAGCTTCCGAGGTGGTAATTAAAAGAATGTGTTGGTGACAACTAATTCTAAGTCTTCTACGAATTTTTCTAGAACGTCTCCTCTATCCTTTTTGAATTTAAGTCCTTCCTCTTCGCGTGCCATATCAGAATTATCCGACGTTGGCGATCACCATTGCGAAGGCTTCTCGATCTTCTGCAATATGGAATCATTGTCCTGCATTTGGTATCTGAGTCCATTCACGAATGTTTTTTAACCAAGAAACTTGTTTTCTTCCTATACCTCTACGGCCCTCTATTTTGCCTTTAAGGATTAGTTGTAATACTTTATATCGACTTCCCCTTACTATATGTCCCAGATAAGACATTTTTCGATGTTAAACACACTTTCATAAAAGTAGTTTTAGTCATTGCTATTCTACGTTTTATTTCTATGTCTGGATCTAGTTGGTCCGTTATCACAGTTCCCAAATATGTCATTTTGTGAACTTTCTCAACGTGGACTCCGTTCAATTGAAGCTTTGCATCGGGATGTGGGGATGACGACTAAACACTAAAAACTTGGTTTGGTTTGAGTTTATTTTAATGCCCATTTCCCTTCTACCTCGTGAATACGATCAAGCAGAATCTAAAGACCTTCAATTTTATCTGATAGAATTACTATATCCTCTGCATATCTAATCACATTGTGTAGTTTCCCGTTGATTTTTATTCCATAATGCTGGCTCTCAAGTGCCTTTTTTAATAATTGGTCCGAGTAAACATTGAACAATGTTGGCGACAAAATGTAACCTTGTCTGAATTCTCGTTGTATGGAGCTTTTTTTCGGTGTAGTTATCTTCCATTTTTACGATAGCAGTTTCATTATAGTCATCATCATCATCATCATTCCTCAACCTCTTGCAACCATTGTTGCATATAGGTCTCCTCCAGGTTCTTTCACTGTTCTCTATCTTGCGCCTTCTGTATCCAATTTCCGACTATTTTTCTCAAGTCGTCCATCCATCTTTTTTGTGGTCTGCCTCGGTGTCTTTTGTCTTCTCTAGGTCTCCATTCTATGAGTCTTTTGGTCCACCTATTATCATTTAAACGTGCTATATGTCCAGCCCATCTCCTTTTGGCTTGTGCAATTTTTTCTACGACATCTGTCACTTTAGTCCTCTCTCTCACTATCCTATTTGGTACCATATCTCTTCTAGTTATTCCCAACATTGCTCTTTTCATTTTCTTTGGGTTACTCTCAATTTATTTGCAGAATGTTTGGTTAAAGTTATTGTTTCGGAACCATATGTTATTACTGGCAGTATGCATTGGTTGTAAACCTTTTTCTTCAAGCAAATCGGAAGTGTTCCTTTTAGAATATCTCGCATCTTGCCAAATGCTGCCCATCCCAAGCCTATGCGACGCTGGAGATCACAAGTTTGATTGTCTTTTCCTATTCTAATTTCATGCCCTAAATAGATATAGCTAAAGACCTGATTTACTTTGTTCCAATCTATTCTCATAACATCACTTGGAACTAAATTGGTCATGTATTTTGTTTTTTCAAAGTTTATGTTCAGGCCTATTTGTTCTACTGCCTGTTTTAGTTCTTCCATTATTTTGTGAGCTTCATTTAAAGTCTCAGCTATAATGACAATATCAATATTTTTTCCCCTTTTAGCCCAATCTAGTTTTTTAAAGGCATATTCCAGAGCTGCAGTGAATAGTTGGGGGAGATGGTGTCACCCTGTCTAATTCCTCGCTCAGTTCTATATTTATTGGTAAAGTCATGGAGTTTAACAGATGCTGTTGCGTTGTTGTATATATGGTTTATCAAATTTGTATATCTATAGTCTACTCGGCTTTGTTCTAATGCTCCTAATTACTGTCGGTAATTCCACGGTATCAAAAGCTTTCTTGAAGTCTATGAAAATCAACCTGAGTGGTTTATTATATTCAACACATTTTTCAATTAGTATTTTAAGTGCTTGTAGGTGGTCATTTGTTCCATAACCTTTCCTAAACCCAGCTTGCTCCTTAGACTGATAGAAATCTAATTTTCATTTTAAACGATTTTATTTATAATATCATTGTCATTGATTCCGATATTTTTCAGTATTTGCATTAATTTTACATGCTGTACTTTATCGAATGCCTTTTCAAAGTAATTAAAGTCCATGTGCTTTGATGTACTGTATTTTATATGATCTTAAGGCTTAGCATTAAAATCTCTTATAGTAATGGGAACTTCCTGTCATGGACTATTTTTTGTATGATTCTGTTGATTTTCTAACAAAACTCAATGGTTTCTTATTAAATTGTATATGTTTATATTGATGAGGTTGGCTTGCACTTCAAAAGGAATGTATAAATGAGAAAATATTAGCCTATTTAGGACACGTTTTTTGAAAAAAATAGGCTAGAGAAATTAACAATACAGGTTGGCGTGCAAGCGACAGGTTACCTATAAGATACACCAAGCACTTTGTTTTAACCATTGGTTTTTCCACCATCAGAATGTGCAAGGTTGATGGAAGATCGACAAAATAATTGAGGAATATCGGCAAGATTAACTTCTAATAACCCATAATAACAACATGCCTGTATCTGGTTGGCGAATAAGATGAAACAGCACTTCAACCAATGAAGTATTTTTTGAACAGTTTCCTTTAATAACTTAGTAACCTAGTTAGAGTTCCGTGATTGGGTCACTTTGGGCGATATAATCTATGAAAGTGATATTTACTAGTAATATTTAAACTTTCTCATATTTCAGGGCCAACAATTGGAAAAAGACATTCCCAAGTTCTTATCCTTTCTATTGTGCTAACTTGTTGTTTTGTTATCAGAACAGCATTGGCTGTTGCGATAGTAGCCATGACTGATCCAACAGCCAGCAGCAACAAAGACATACCGGTGAGTTATTAACTTTATTAATTTAAGAAATTAGAAAAAATACTTACATGAAATATCCATCGTATTTTTTTATTTGTCTCTGTCTTTATGTTTCGAATATTGGCTAAGGAGCAAGCTTTTAGGAAAGGTTATGGAACAAATGACCACCTACAAGCACTTAAAATACTAATTGAAAAATGTGTTGAATATAATAAACCAGTTACGTTGATTTTCATAGACTTCAAGAAAGCTTTTGATATCGTGAAATTACCGGCAGTATTAGGAGCATTAGAACAAAGCCGAGTAGACTATAGATATACAAATTTGATTAAACATATTGTAATTGTTTTGTTTTTATTATTTTTATGTTTTATTGTTAATAAATATAATTTTAATTGAATTGAAGTGAATTTTAAAAGTATGTAGTTCGTTGTTAATATACTATACCTCGGCTAGCTCAATTATTTGTTCTAAGCAATCTGTCACTGTGTGACGTCAACTCTGTAGTCTCCTGGTAGAGTTCAAAAAGAAATTAAACCAAAATTTACTTTATATTTTTGATAAATTAACCCAAATGAAGCACGTTATTTATTAATATTGAACAAATTTAATATAAACAATAAAATTAGTCTGCAACTTGGGTTGCCTTTAAAAATTTACAAAAATAGGAATCGTGTAAACCTTAATGTGTCGTGAAAATAGAATTTGATTACAAAATGTGGAAACTCTCTACAATTACCTTAAATCTAAATGACTATTGCAACTTTATAAAGTGTTTAAATGAAATATAAAGAAAAGAAAAACTGAACACTTTATGCCGCTGACTTATAACTAGCATTAAAATATAATCAAAATTTCAAATGATCCCCAAAATTATTATCCAAACTCACTTTCAAACAGTTCTGATTTTTTTTTTTTTTAAAGAAAACTAACTACTCGCAAAATAATCGGTGATACTGGAATATCTATCCTCTCTTCGGAAGTTAAAGGTACGTACTATTATATTTTTATTTTAATGATCATTAATATTTCAATTTTTAAGGCCTATCGCAATTAGTTAATTCATGAATTTTTACTTTTTCAATCTAAATGACATTTCTGCACTCCAATTATAATTTATAAGTCAAAATTTCTCTTACTCTCTGGAACAAATTCTGGATATCTCTATTTGAAAATGTGGAAAAACTAAATTATAATTAAACGATTTTAAAGCACTCCCGGACTATTCCACCTTTTTAGGGCTCTTCCTCCAAAATTTTCGTCGCCTCCAACAACCTATTCTTCCTTGTTAACCGCCATAGCTAGCACCAACCACCAAAATTATTCGTTGCTAACAGCAACCCCCTTTCTTTTTTCATTCCGTCTTCTATTTTATTCAACCATAAAACTGTCCTGTTTTGACATATTTGTCAAACCACATTAATTTCTCATAAGCACTTTAATCACATCTAATTTGGGAATTTATAAAAAAAAAAATTCAGATATAAAACTTAACAATACTAATATAATTTATTCTTTTCATCTCCACATCATTGTAATTTATTTAACAAAACCCCTATTAATTTAGTTCCCACAGACTTTTGACAGTTTATTTTTCTGACGTTTATTTTTAAAATTTCTATGTTTTAAATAATTTTTTAAGAATTCTTCTTTTTTATTCCTTTTAAGGTTTAGACGATTCACCTATACACTAGGCAACTATACTATTCAGAAATTATTAACACTATACCAGGTAAGTCAAAATTAATTTATTTAGCAATTTACTAATCTTTTCTCCCTTTTATTTCAGAGTCGACCCACATTGTGATGGCTTCATGAAATTCATGAACAACAAACTCATATAAAAATCCCTTTAAGTTATATCCTCTTTGACATATTGAAATCATTTCAACTTCCCCCAATTTGGATTTTGTTCAGTGCTAACTATCAGCACTTACTAAATCTAAATTCTTACCGATAAACTTAAACATTTTATTAATATTAACATAACAATAAACTGACTTTTATTAATAAGCATATCTCTTGAATATTTTTTTTTTAATAATTTACTCTATGAAAAATACAGACTTCTCCAAACAAAATCTACAAATCTTTCACTAATTATATCAACTTAAGAATCAAATTTCCAAGTACTTTCCCAATTTCATTACTTCTTTTCCTGTACTATTTATTTCTCGTACTAATTTCGTAGAAATTCTTATAATTGTTCCCTCTTTATTTTATATCTTTATTCATTTATTTCCGCATATACTATTTCAGTATCTTTATTCATTGCCGCATTATTATTTATTCTTTTTGTATCCGCATATAATATCCATTTCATCATCTCTACATATAACTCTCTATATTTCATATTTCAATATTTCCTATAATTCTATTTTTCATCTTATTTCCCACATATTTTCACATATACTATTTATCATTATAATATTCCCTATTTCCCAATTTCTACAAAATATCGATTTGTCCATAGTACTTTGCTCATTTATTTATACTTGTAACTCCTATAAATTTACTTGAAAATAAATCAACCTCTTTTTTTTTATATATAAATTCATCATTATTCTGTACATCTGTTCCCAATAAATTATTTGAGTCATGTTATTATCAAATTTATCTCAAGATATGCTTATGTATTAATTATCCTTCTATTTACAAAACTTATATCTAATAATATAAAATTCGTGTCATAATATTGCCTACCCTTGTATGTTTATTCATAATACTTATAAATTCCCTCTATATTAAATATCCCTCTAATTTTATTAGTTTCTGGATGTCTTAGTTCATAACTGTTTACCCCATGTTCAGTACTAATGACATAAGGTCCTTCAAATGGCAAAAGTAATTTTCCACACAGATTTTCATTCCTTTTAGGCACCTGTAGTGACCTGATAAGTACCTTCTCCCCTTTTTCAAAAATAACTCTTTTCTTTCTCTTCTTATTGATTCTATTTACATAACGACTTGCATTTCTTATTAAATTTTGGTTCACCTTCTTCATTACTTCTTGAATGTCCCCTGTATTACTGATTTCCCAAGGTCTTTCTGGATACTTTCCAGACATTAGGAAATATGGGCATTGTTTGGTGATTCCATGTGGTGTCTCATTTAAAAATCTTTCAACTTGTGGCAAATTTTCCTGCCATAAATAATGTTGTCTAGCACACAAAATTCTTAAGAATTTTACCACCTCTTTGACATATCTTTCTGCAGGATTAGATGCGGGTCTTCTGATACTAATGAAATTTAATTGGATTTTTTTTTCTTCATAAAACTCTTTTTAATCTTGGACTTTCAAAATATGTGGCATGATCTAAGATAATTGTTTCTGGAGTACCTACTTCCTCTATGTATTTTTCTAGATAGTATTTTACGGTTTTTACATTTGTCCTTATTTAAATTATTTACAATGTTTTTGTTGATTAGAGTTACTTCTGAACCTGTATCTAATAATAACTTGTATACTGAATCTTGTATGTACCCTTCAATAAACTTTAAAGTATTAGTGTTATTATTTTTATTTAATTCCCCAGTATCTCTAATAAACTCCCTTGGATGTTCATACTTTGATAAGTAGACAATATTATGCACATAGGAGCGGTCTAAACAAAATTTCTCCCTTCTACATCAACACTTGCTTCCCCCTATTCTCCTCTGTTCTAACTACATTCACCTGTCTTCTCTCCTCATTTTCCCCCCTATTATATCTTGGATTCCCTTCTCTGTAAACTTCCCTATTTCTCGTCTCCTGTGGATAATTTCCCTGGTTCTGTCTCCAATTATTGCCTCTGTCATTCCCTTGTCTCCAGTTATTCTCTCTATCATTGTTTGGATTCCCTTGTCTACGTTCCAGTTATATCGTCCGATATCTCTCCTGACATTATTCAAATTCTCTCCCTATTTGTAAAATCCCTGCTTCTATTTTGTCTCTCAAATTCTCTTTCCCTATAATTATTCCCTCGATTCACATATCCCTGTCTATTTGCTGTGTTATTCCTATATGTCACTTGCTCTTGTCCATTTCGATTCTGCGTCCCTACACTCCTCTCAATCCTCTGAAGATATCCTGTCAAACTTTCCATCGTCTTTATATTGTGGAGAGCTATTGTTTCTGCCATGTTATGGTTATATTGCCTGGCAATGTATAGGACAATCTCCTCTTCTCGCATAGCCGGTTCTAAATATTGTGCTGTCTGGAATAACTGCATTGCGTACAGATTGTAGTTGGTACTTTTTTCATAATTGAATTTCCCAAAATACAACCGCTCCCTGAAACTAGCCTGTTGGTTTTCTCCCCAAAAATAGTTAATAAACTTGGCCTCAAATTCCTGCACATTATTTATGGAATTTTCATTATTGCAAAACCATAATAATGGCATGCCCACTAACATGTTTCGAATATTCAATTTCATTTCTATTGGATCCCTTACATTCTTTACCTTATTTTTGATGATATCTACAAATATTCTAGGATGTAAGTGATTCAGGTTTCCATCAAACTTTATTCCCCCATCATTATAACTCGGCACCACAGTACTCACTACTCTTGTTTGTCCTAGATTTGATTCCAAACGCTGAATCTCCTCACTTGCATTTTTAAATTTCTCTCTCAATTCCTCAACTTGTCCCTGTAATACTCTATCTCCCTTTTCCGCCTGATTTGCATGCATACCCATTTCCAGTTCCAAATTCTGCAATCCCTTCTTTATATTATTTTTTATAATGGTAATTTTTTCCTCATAATCCTGAGTTTGCCTTTTAACACTTTCTACCTCCCTAACAATCTCTTTATTCTGCTTATTAACTTCTTTGTTTATTTCCATTGGTAAATTCTCTTTAATGGCTGTTCCCAACTCTACAAATCTGCTCCCAATTTCCTGTCCTATTTCCGCTCTAATTATGGCCTTTTCTCTGGATATCTCCTCCTGTACATTCCTCTTAAAATTCTCACTTTCTCCTCTGACCTGTTCTACTTTCTCTTCTAAACCTTGGGTAATTTGTAGCATCTCTTCCCTGAC